TTGTCGCTCATTCTCCTCTTAGTCCTGATCTCCCCGGTGCTGGTTCCAATCCTGAACAGGTTGATTCCTTTGGGCTCAGACAGGTGATAAGAAAGCAGCGCGTTGTATCCAGAATCTGCATCCACAGCCCTGATCTTTGCTACAAAGTAGCCCGCTTCAGCAGAATAGGGGATGGTCTCACTGTTAACAGAACCGAGCTCAGAATAAGGAGCCAGAATAGTTGGACTGTTGTCATTCTCATCCAGGATAAAAACATTTACAGTCAAGTTGGTGCTGAGTGGAGGAACACCAGAGTCTGTGGCCTGAACTTTAAACTGAAATGTTTTCAACTCCTCATAGTTAAAACTCTGCAGACTGACTATATCTCCTGTCTCTGAATTAATATTCACTAGTGTTGATAAAGGTGTTCTCTTATTGTTTTCATCTACAAATGAGTAGCTCACCTTGCTGTTCTCACCACTATCAGCATCATTTGCAGTCACTGTTTTAATCACTGCTCTAACAGGGTTGTTTTCTTTCAAATACACATTTATTTCTTGTTCTGAAAACTTTGGTGGATTATCATTTACATCAGAAACATTTATTAAAATCAAACGTGTGCTCGAAAGTGTTGGGCTCCCTTTATCATCTGCAACAATAGTAACTACATATGCAGAAACACTTTCCCTGTCCAGTGGCCCAATTACTGACAGAGAATAATAATTCTTGTAATTTATTACAAGTTTAAATGGGAACTCATCAACAATTTGAACCCTCACTTCACCATTTTTTCCACCATCTTTATCGAGCACTGACACAAGCGCCACCACAGTCCCTGCAGCTGTGTCCTCTCTGACTGTTTGATATAGTGACGTCACTGTGACCTGAGGGGCATTATCATTTAGGTCCACTACCTCCACCAGAACCTTGCTGTGAGCAGACATGGGAGGCTGACCTTTATCACTGGCCTCTACACGTATCTCAAAAGCCCTTCTTTCCTCAAAGTCTATATCACCTTTAACAGTAATTACACCAGTATGGGGTTCAATTGCAAAAATATCCAGCACATGATCTTGATCTTTGCTTCTTAATGAATAAACAATCTCACTATTTACACCTTCGTCTGCATCCGTGGCCCGCACAGTAATCACTGTTGTGCCAAGCTGTGCATTTTCCATAATTTTGGTTTTATAGAGAGACTCACTGAAAAGTGGAATATTGTCATTAATATCTAACACATTAACATAAATCTGTGAGGTACCTGACTTTGGAGGAGTGCCTCCATCCACAGCTATCAGCGTCATGGTGATCACAGGCTGCTTCTCTCGGTCTAATGCTTTCTGCAGCATGAGCTCTGCAGAAACACCGTCACCTGCTTTGTTCACGGACAAAGAAAAATGCTCATTATGGCTTAATTTGTAAGAACTGACCCCGTTTCTTCCTATATCTGCATCAACTGCTTCAGACAAAGCAAATTTCACTCCTGGCAAAGTACTCTCTGCGATGTAGAGATTCTGCTGGTTTGTGGAAAACAACGGGGCGTTGTCGTTCACATCTAAGACCTCCACCTCAATGCGATACAATTTCAAAGGGTTGCTTATCACAGCTTCTACACTGAGCGAGCATTTAGGTTCATCTGAGCAGAGCTCCTCTCTGTCTATCCTACCACTGACAAACATCATGCCTGTCTTTAGGTTTACCTCCAAGTATTTTTTCTTTGATCCAGCAACGATTTGAAACATTCGAGATTCCAACTCCTGGACATTCAGGTTTAGGTCCTTTGCAATGTTTCCTACAGCAGTCCCTGGGTTTGCCTCCTCAGACACGGAATAAGAGAGCTGTCCGTACACCGTCAGCCAACATCCATACAGCAGATAAAGGCACAGATATATCCCCAAATGGCTCCATCGATAAAACAAAGACATCTCTTCCCAAAACAAATTAAAAATGTGAATATTTCCCATCCAAGGAGGACAACTGAAGTGAAAAATAGAATAAAAACCTTTTGAAAGAGATGAGTGTAACGTCCAGTGTTGTGTACCCTTCCCCCATGCTTTTGTAACAAAGACTGGGATGTTCATCTGGATTGCAAACACTAGGTGCCTGGTTATTATAAGGGCTGGTTCAGATGGACCAACAGCTACGCCAGGTGGTGAAATAGTCAATCTGCACATCTCAGTGACATTCTTGTCTCAAAAAACTAAAATGTTTTATGAAACAAAACAGGCAGTTAGAATTTTGTTGAAAGGATGGAGAATGTTTTACCCGTTTTTCAGTATCATGATAATATTATGGTGAATGAAAAAAAAATGTTGAGAAGATCCCCCTCCCCATGAAAAAAGACTATCTATATGTTAAAAAAATGTTTATTATTATTATTATTATTATTATTATTATTATTATTATTATTATTATTATTAGCTGACTTTTTTTCTGAACAAACAAAAAAGACATACTGTTTGGAACAGTGCAGGATCGTTTGAGAGAATTTCAGTTGTACAGCTATATATATTTATATATACATATATATATATATATATATATATATATATGCACACATAATCCATTACAACTTTGCTGTTTGACTTTCGTGGACTCAATCTTTCATGTCTTTTCAATGTAAAATTGTACACGACACAAGATTGTTAACTTTAGGATAACATTACACACGTGATTGGGATGGTAGGCGATAACTTTAGACAGGTGCCGCCTTCTTGTAATTTTCTTTCAATAAGCCTACACTATAACGCAAGTAAAAATAAAAAGAAACACTACCCAGAAGGCAACAGTGCTTCTGGCCGCTGCTTTCTGCCAAAATGGAGAGAACGTTTTTCAAAGCAAAGTCAGAAGTAACAATCTATTTATTAAGCTCACAGAACTGACAGGCAAATCACAAAATAATCCTTAAGATTCCTGAAGCTCAATTATCCATGTGTGCATCAACCTGGATAGGGGTTGGGTTTCATCACTGCAGAGTAGGTCTGCCGAGCCGGACTGGAACCGAGCTGCTGTTCTGCAGAGCTGTTTAGTAAAATGTTGCAGTGCTGTACAGTATATATGCATATATTGTTAAAATGATGTAGGTTTAAGAGTTTAGAACATTGTGAAGAGCATTACAAGAGTATGGGAAATGTTTATAAAGCCTTAAACTATATATAAATATTAATATAAATATAGTGTTCCAACTGGGCAGCACGGTGGTGCAACTGGTAGAGCTGCTGCCTCTCAGCGAGCAGCGTCCCTGGTTCAAATCCTAAGTCCAAAGCCTTTCTGGGTGGAGTTTGCATGTTCTCTCCGTGCATGCATGGGTTTTCTCCGGGTACTCCGGTTTTCCCCCACAAGCCAAAAACATGTATGTTAGGCTGACTGGTATGTAACTCTAAATTGTCTCTAGGTGTGAATGAGAGAGTGAATGGTTGTTTGTCTCGTTTGTCTCTATGTGGCCCTGTGATGGACTTTCGACCCATCCATGGTGTACCCCGCCCTTCGCACAGTGATTGCTGGACATGGGCACCGGCGACCACCGTGACCCAAAATGGAAGAAGCAGGTAAAATATAATGGATGGATAGTGTTCCAATATGTGTCAAGATAGATCCTCTTCCCATTGTGCATTTAATAGAGCTACACACATAAATGCACATTTGGAAGATGATCTATGTGCATTTAAAAGAGATGCAGACAAAAATTAATCAATGAGTAGTGTTTTATTTTGGGATATTTCACTGTTTCTCTACATCTCCACAGAGACAGCAGTCATGCGCTTAGGCAGATTTCTCACTGTGTAATCCTGGGATTAGGCACCAGATTCAGAAACCCCTGTCCTATTTCCATTCAGAAAATAACATGATTTGATTTGAAAATATTAATCATCATCTCACAGCAACAGTTATATGTTAAACCTCAATTTTAATAACAGTAATGCTCCACAATGACTGACCAAAGTGCTTAGTTTTATAATGTGTTTGTGTCGTACCCAACACATACACACAGCAATCACCTATGTTCACATGAACACACACAAACATGGAGACCACCTGGTCCACCATACCTCAACAGCTATGTGGAAAATTCAATCATTCATGGGTTTGTAGGTCACAGTTTCACTCCATTTATCTTTCAGGGTTTTAATCTGAACTATCCTTCTAATAAAATCAGCATATGCATCAGTTTACTCAGTATTATTGAGATTAGATATGCTCTGAAATTGTTTATGTCTCATAGGGATTATGCTTCATGGTCTCTTGTATGCGTTTGCATACTTTAAAATTATAATATATGACATTTTTGTTTTTGATGTTGCTTAATATTGTTCCCAACTTGTAAGGACATTTCATTTGAACCACATATCATACTGCATGTGAGTGTTACTCTGATTGCATCAAGATTGACTCATTTTATTGTCTCCAATGTTGCAGCCCCTCTGGGAAACGTTTGCAGAACTGGAAACTGATGAAGTGATCAATAGTTTTCCCTTTACACACTAATGAAGACATAAAACATGTTAATTTGTGCATTTATGAACAGGTACTCTTGTGTATTTTTTTTTACAAAAAAGTTTTAACTAGTTTAAATATCTTATTATCTTATTGTTCTAGTCTTGTGTTTTGAACTTTGTATGCCGTGATTTATATTTATATGTATATATATATATATATATATATATATATATATATATATAT